TTCGTCTCAATAATAATGTGAGAAGCTATGACATTCTCACAGTTGGGGGGTCTCAATACACTGAAGAGCTTAAGTTTCGAATTCCAACTCAAATCTTGCCAATAAGGAGAGGAATGTGACCAGGACTAATCTTTTAAGTGCTGTTAAGAAATTTTCTTTGTAATTTACGGTGTATGTATCATTTGGTTATTTTTTCTAACAGGATGTATCAAGTAACTAGGGGTCAGGCAGTGTTATTCAAACCACCTGTTCTGTAAACTATTAAATACATTCGCTAGTAGTGGCCATTAGTTTCGTCTATATAGTGAAACAACATATAAGAACATATGTTGAAATGAATTTGTTTGAAAGTTCAAAGAAATGATATTCAAGTACCGAAAAGCTTTCTTACAATCATATCTACAGTAATCTTGAAATGCACCTGTGCTGGACTGAGCGAGAGTGACCACCAACAGGCATGATAGTTTACTGCAAATGTAAAAAGTTTACGCTGCTAATGTTACGATTTATTCAGCACAATAAACAAAAGTACGGCTGCAATGAAACATAAACATAAACTTGAAATAAAAATACATTTATGAAACAAAATTGAAATGTTTTTACGTACATATATATAAAAATGAAATCCTAGTTAAAAATAAAAAATACTCATTTATTGTTTAGGTTTACTAAGAAATATTATTTTCGAATCTTGTACATTACTATAAACCATAAGGAGAGTATGTGATTATTAAAAAAACTAAAAATAGATAAAATTTGCATTTTATGGATGATAAAAGTTTTTAGGAATTTTAAAATAATGTACTGAAACATAAAAAGTTCAAATCTGGAACAAATATAAATATTGTAATCATTTCTTATAAATACCATTTCCTAATGTAATTTTCCAAGATATTAAAGATCATAATGCAAAAAACTAAATTTATCAAAAGTAACAGGCTTTATGTTTCTTAAACTATGTGCATTTATGAAAGTTTTTCTGAAGTCTCAAACAGTTTCATCTACTAGTTTTATTGATAAATGAAATATGGCAAGACTTTCATTGACTACTCAGAAAGTTAGTAGCCGATGGTCATCGGGTTAAGGTTCAGTAAAAAAATAAGACTGAAGGCTATAAAAATTATGCTTTGCCCAAGTAATAACTATATTATAATAATTCGATGACGAGGAACCCACTTTGAGACTAATAATGGCTGGAAACAGCCTGATGATGACAAAACCTTGTCAAAACGTTGTACATTTGTATGTTAAACTTATATTAAAGTTTTTCTTCATTACCCATTCAAGCAGTCTCCAGCCATTATTATATTAAAGTTTTTCTTCATTACCCATTCAAGCCGTCTCCAGCCATTATATTATAATAAGTAACTTATTTTAAATTCCGTACTTCTTGGAGGAGTGGTAAATATATTAGAGAAGAGGGAAACCTATAGGACAAATGACAATTCTCATACTAGAAGAGACTGAGGATTTATTAAATATTTTCTTGTAAAATTAAGAACCTAAAACTTGTATAGTATTAAAATTTGATTTATTAACTACATTTTGATGCCAAGTTTATTCGTACCAGAATAATAAAATAATTTAATTAGATTTTGAATGTAACAATTTATTATCAACTTATGTAATTAAATTTGGCACAAAAACTGAGTTTATATCTCACACTTTTATATTATCTAAGTTTCACCTTCTTAATTACAAGAAAAAAAAACATTCAAAAATTCTCAATTTTAATTTTTCTTTGTCACATCATACTCAAGTTCCAATTTTTCCATTTCCCAATTTTCTAACTTCTAAAAATAGGCTGCTTTAGTTTCCAAACCATCAGAAACATAATTATAGTCAAGAATCTAAAATTTCCACCTCCTACCTTCTTGATTTGCCGAGATATAAATAAACTTTACTTGGCTGATGAACATGTTTGTAATAAAAAGAAAAAGTAAATTCTACATATAAATCATAATTATTTGATTTTTGCACACATAATTATACAGTAAGCTGAAGTTTCTGTGTCTTGATCATAGTTATCCTACTCCAAAAAGCTAACACAATTTTTTAGCCTATTTATAAATTACTTAGAAAGCCAGATAAATTACAGTAATTTTCAGATATTCTGTTCTAATGACTGATATATTTGTTTGTGTTCTAACAGAGATGAAAGTGTCCCTTTCCTAAAAATCTTTAAAATAATCGAAGCCAAGTAAGGGGGATCCGGCAACCGACATCCTGCATTTTGATGCAT